TAGCGCCATTTTTTTGTGTCGGTCGTACAGCGTTGTTGTCGGACAGCTGTCATGTGTGAACATTGAGGTTAGAGCCAACGGCACACGATACTATTTTTCCTAGTGGATTCTTTACGAGAGCCAATCAGGATTCAGCTTTGAGTCAGCTGACCGAAAACTCCGTATCTTGATTGGCTCTCGTAAGCAATCCAGTAGGAAAAACGGGGTGCGTTTCGAATTAGCTATATTTCTAGTTACAAAGTTGGTAACACTGTAACTAACTTGCGTAGGTTCCGTAATGTATCAGCTGATTTCGTTTCTTGTGTTTAATGTAAGAAAATAAATTTAATTAATAATATGTTTAATACAATTAATCCCAAATATAAATTGGACATATATTGTGAAACCGAAAAGAAAAAGTTTACTTTCGTAGTTTCGAAAAAAACTTATTTACATGCTAAAAGCAGTAACTAAAAATAATTATTTTCAATACTTGTTTATTAGACTGACTAATATTTAGACTAATATTAGACTAACTAATAAACAAGTAATGAAAACTATTTTTAGTTTACTTACTGCTTTTAGCTTGCAAATAAGTTTCTTTCGAAACTACGAAAGTGAACTTTTTCTTTTCGGTTTCACAATATATGTCCAATTTATATTTGGGATTAATTGTATTAGACATATTATTAATTAAATTTATTCTCTTACATTAAACACAAGAAACGAAATCAGCTGATACATTACGGAACCTACGAAAGTTAGTTACAGTGGTACCAACTTTGTAACCAGAAATATAGCTAATTCGGAACGCACCCATAGTACCGCGTGCCGTGATCTGATAGAATCGACATCGAATCGACATCGACTCGACATCGATCCGATGTATCGTTTCTCACTTGGGAGAACGATTGTTTTTTTAAACGAAATATAAAAGAGTATTTATTTTCTCGTTCTTCATCTATTTTCCTTTCTTCCTTTTTTCTCTACCTATTTCTCTACCCGTTGTCAGCAAACTGTGTGACGAAGAGAACGTCTCAGTTCTCCGTGTCTTTCTGCTTGTCAACAGGAATACTCCGTTTGATCATGTACCCACCCTAGTAGTCATTGACTAAATATTGGCCCAATACAATTAAATATTGGGTGAATGTTTAACCAATGTTTGGCCAATGCATTGTGCTACTGGGACAGCGAGAAATGACTAGTTCGGTCGGCATCGAAATAATATCGATTTACTGTCGATTTTACTGTTTCTACGTCGATTCGACACCATACCTATCGACGAGTCATTTCTCCCTGCAGTCAGTCACAACGACTAACATGGCTGTTAAAGAATAAAGTTTCTTGCATGGTAGGCAGCACGAGGCTCTAAGGCA